ACGAACCGTATCTACAGCGCCATCTTGACTGACTTTTGCATGTGATGGTCAGGCAGAGACGTCATTCCGATTTCAGCATCTATTCCTCACATACTAGACTTTCTACAGGAAGGACTCGACAAGGGGTTGTCACTAAACACATTGCTTCGACAGGTGGTGGCTTTGTCCACAATCCTAACAAGTGATTACACCTGACCTCTTTCTCAACATAGTCGAGTGCACAGCTTCTTGAAGGGAGCGGTGAATTTGCAGCCACCGGTCGTTCACTGGTATCCATCATGGGAACTCTCTCTTGTCCTATAAGCACTAATTACATCACCATTTGAACCACTTAAAACAACAAGCCTAAAACTGCTGACCTTTAAGGTTGCATTCCTTATGGCTGTCACCTTACCCAGGAGGATTTCAGAGCTAGCGGCTCTTTCTGTCTGCTCCGACCTCTGCATCATTTGGCCGGACATACTCATTCTTCACTTACATCCACCATTTTTCCCGATAGTGAACTCCTGGTTTCACAGGGCCCAGGAGGTCATTTTACCAGACTTTTGCCCTAACACCCAACATCCACTGAGAGGCAGTGGCATAAGCTGGATGTTAGGAGAGCAATTCAGCGATATATTAAGGGGACAGCTTCCTTTTGTCATTTTGTTTCATTCCAGTCCACTTCCATGGGCAAAACGGTGTCACCATCCACTATTGGCAGATGGCTGAAGGCCTGCATTGCGATGGCATACGAGCACCAGTCTAGGAGGGTACCAGGTCAAATTACAGCACACTCCATGAGGAGTGCAGCAATCACAGCAGCTTGGGCCACTCAAGCATCGGTAGACAGAAATTTGTAGAGTGGCTACTTAGTCCTCGCCTTCACTATTTATCAAACATTACAAGATGGACTCCTTCGCCTCGGCTGAGGCGTCGTTTGGGCGGAGGGTGCTTCAGAGAGTTCACTCAGCTGAGGGGACCCTGGATCAGCCTGACTCCCACCCTTGAGACTCATTGTAGCATTAGGGTCCCGAGGCTGAAGGTGAAAGAATGTAATCCATCCACGGATAGCTGAACCAACAGAAGTTTATTGAGCAAAGCATTCCATGGGTAGCAGAATCAACAGCAGAATCAACAGCAAAATTATTAATCATGAAACATCATTCTTATAGTTTTGCAGCTTCTTAGTTCTCACCTACTTTACGTGTTATTTCATTA